CTGAGCAGTCGACGATCGCTTGTTCACACTCGTAGAGATCACGACTGTACTTCAAGCTCGGCAAGTGTGACATTTATGTGATTCAGCCTAGCTGTGGTGTGCTGAGCGGTATATGTAGAGCTAGTTTACTTGTGCACACACAGTGGCTGTGCGGTATAAAACGCGCCCAATTGGCAACTTTAATGCAGTCTCGTGTAGTTCCATTGATGTTTTCTTTTGGCGTGCATGATATGTGTTCACACTTTTTTTTTTCCTCGCTTACCGACAGTCCTAGCTGTCTGCAGAGAGTAAGTGTGAAACATGCCAACAAGCCTCTAAAGCAGTATGCAGTGCAATTTTGGTCTATTGTGCAAGCGAGGAAGAAGACTGCTCGTTTGGCTGTTGAGGCTGCGACATAGACATTAGATAGTTTTATCTGAGCATTGTTACGACCCGCTCCACTCAAAAGGAAAGCACCTGCATACTCACAACGCTCAGTCAGCAACGACCAGTCGGAGCGCAGATGCCGACTGAGCGTTACATGCGTGCCTGGTTACTTTCCTGCTCAGTGGCTGAGCGGAGCGGCCCGTAAAAAGCGCTCAGCTAAAACTTTTTCTGATAGGGGGTGGCTGACACATAGATATTTCAGGCAGAAGGATGGCCGACATTGACTCACATCAATTCTCAGTATGAGCAGCTCTCATCGCAATACGGAAATTATGATTCAAACTTCCTCTACCCCTTTCTGAAGGTTTTGAAGGTGCTCCTAGCAGTATTGTTGGGCTAGACATAATCATACCCAGATCCACTCCAATAAATTATAAGAGGATGAAGTCAGTTGCCACATAGCTTGTGCAAAGCTAAATCTGGAACTCACTCCTCCTCCTTGTTTTTCACTGTATTGAGAACCTTGTCTCAGTATGTGATGGGTCTGTGAAGAAAATTGACCAGATAAGCAATATTACTCAGAAAATAGATGTCCCATACATATTAACCTGCACCTACCAGCCGCTGTACACCACCTCACTACTGATTTGTTATCTTTCTATTGATTTGCCTGAACTGTTCGCACCTGTAGATATTAATGATGATCACGAGGGAATGTTTGTTGTCATATGATGTCATATGCTTAAAGTAAGTGAGGCTTGCGGGCGTTTTCAAGGGCTATGGGGCATGCCGATGGTAAACACTCAATGTGAGTTTATGGTAGACGCTAATAATATATACTAGTTTCTGGGTAAGTCGCTATTTTTTATTTGGTGAAGTCTGCAGATGAGTTTTAGTCAGGTTGCCATTATGTGGGAACACAGGGGCCATACTCTGCAATATATTATATGTTTACATGTGTCTACCCAATCTCATTAGTATGTGTACAACAATGAGCTGTATTCGCGACTCCAACGATCTATAGGGGGCGCCACCACCAAACAAACATGGCGGCTGGGAACAGGTCGCGTCGGCTCGGCCGGGCCGCCTGAACGGGTAGCGCATTCAATTTAACAGATTTTCTTTTGTTTAATGCCCTATTTTATAGGTATTTCAACTGCGACGGTTAAGTGTAGCCGGTGCAGATAAACTTGCAGAGCATAGTTTTGTTTTCCCGGTGCTTTTTGTTCTTTTTATGTCAAACTTTTGTTTCGGAGGTTTCGTTCATTACCGAAACTATGGGCTCCGGAGAGACGGTAATAGACTCTAATCAGTTTTGATCAGGTAAGGAAAGCAGCGATGACTACAGAATTGTTCCACCGACAGTAATTTTCAACTAACTCGCATCACTCGACCATACGACTTATCTGTCGGCGAAATCGAGCTTTTGTGCGTATTAAGAAACAGCTCCAGTCGTCTGCTCGATCAGCAACACAGGCTGCAGGAAAATTACGAAAATTAAGCAAGCGCTTCTTGAGCCAAGCTTGAGCTTCTTGAGCCCCACTAAACAGCTGATACTCTTATTTCAACTCAGGTTTTAGTGACAATCGAAGTCATTTTGACGAATGTGCGGGTTATGCATTATATTACGTACCATGTCCCACTAAATGGATATCAGTATATTATTTGGGCTGAAATATGAGCTTACTTGACAAGCTATTAGGTGAACTGCTGAATCAAAGTATATTTGACAGACGGAGAGATACTACCTAAACTCAGCCATATGGTTCTAGCCGGCAGCACGGAGATGATTGCGGACAAATTTGAAGATAGTCTTCATTGGAGATTCATGCAGAACCCCTCTGCATTAAACTTGACTTCAAATCCTGAATGGAGAAAGAGAGTATCTTTTGTGGCCGGACAACCTGAGCAATGTAGACGGATATTGCTGCTGGCTTCAACGAGGGTATATTATAAATATTGGAGGCGCAATAGATCATAATGTTGTGACAGCTTCTAACTTTGCGAGACGCGTCCCCCATTTTTTGAAAGCAAACAATATCCCTCATTAATCGTATGCAGCGAGGAGGTTTTCGAGAATCAAGTAGATGCGAAATCAGCCCAACTTTTTCGGTGTGGTCCAGAGGCTTTTTCGGTGAAAAGCTGCCGAGATGAATAGCCAATGCACCGACCAGCGTGGGTGGCTCAATCTTGACGCTAATCAAACACAGCCCAATTCAAGAAAAGCAGCTATTGAACCTTCCCATTCACTTGACTGCAGCATTGGGGTTCCCTCCAGTGAAACACCTCGTCTGTTTTACATACCACTTATCAGTTACCGAGTAGTCGTCACTTTGAATGTCATTCGAGACAGAGAAGATATCAAAACGTTTTTCCTTGATTCCTCCCCATCCAAGAAATTGAAAGCACGCGATTGTGTGTTGTGGAGTAAACAGGCTTTCAAACACGTGATAGAAAAAAAACAATTTACTGAGGCTTCATCACACTGATGAACACTCAGGCAAACTTGAGAAATATTCAGACCTTCATCAAATTACATTGTTTGCCACCGCGTCGACAACACGTGTCCGCGAAAGCCGCCAGAGACGTGGAGAGGCGCAGAGCGACCTGTTCTGGCTGCTTCCCGGTTTTCCCGCTTGGTACTGTCCGTTTTGCTAGGGTCGCGAATATGTCAAGGATATGATTTGTCATTGTCTCAGTAAGACTAATGAATCGCTATATTTACCTAAAAATGCTGGATCTCTCGCACCTATCGGGACGAACGGCAATGTTAAACTACATGCCAACTACTCCGGCGAGTTTGCCCGTCTCTCGACATGCCCTTTTGAATTAAAGTAGATGACTTCCACGAGCCTTTCTTTGAAGTGGGCCTTCATGCAAATAGCTAACCTTGATTATGAGATAACTGGGCCATTTTTGCCGCTTGGTTATCCAGTGTGTTGTAACAGGTGTCCCTTAGGGCAATCAAAGTATTTTTGTTTTGATATAGTTTCCAGATTGAAAATGAAATGAAGACAATTAACGCATTGGTTACAAAAAGTTTTTCTTTTACATGGGCTTCTTGTCTCATGCCTCTGGTTTTCTGGCCACTTGATTAGCTTGGTTTATCTTTTTAGAGGTGATACTTACTTAGTTTTTGTGCTTTTGTTTTGGGTGTTTTTCAGGCTGATTTTCTTTTTTTTTTTCTCAATAGTGTGTATATATTGCGCCGTTGAGTTCAATGAAAATTTGGTTTCGAGTCAGCGCTCTGTCCGTGTCCTTTACCCTGTCTGTCGTCCTTTGCGCTGTTTTAACCTTTTAAGCGCTTGCCCAGTTTGGAATTTCTGGATTATCATGTGCAGCTGGTATTGATTTACCCTGTCATTTTACTGTGCTGTTGATTCTCTTTGCAGGTGCTCTAATGAAGGACTCCCCTTCCTAGGTGCATGGTCGACTTGCATCACAAGCTGCATGAAAAGTGTGAAGAACATTTCCTAGGCCCGTGACATGCAGCCTCTTTCATCCAGCGCACTCCTCTAGCGACAAGCCCATGATGACCAGCCAAGCTGTAGCTTCACTGGAGCTGACAATAAACAATTACGGTAACAATTTTGTATGTTTTATTTGCTATCATGTGTATGAGCGACAGATGGCTGTGGCAGCCGCTTTACCAATAAGGTGTATACCTATGCCAGAAATTTACTTTCATGTACAGTGCAACATAATTGTTTACACTCATTTGTTGTTAAAATTATTCTTCTTATGAACTACATCATTTCTATTCAGGTGTAAATTGCACACAAAACCACATGTTAGGCTGTATGACAAGACCGGGAACTGTACGATTTTAGCCCGCTAGCCTGGGGTCTTGCTGGTATCTTGCGGTACTGCTGGTAGTGCACCGGGGATTTGTGCTGGCAGCAGCCCGGGAACTCGCTGGGACAAAACAAGCCCGGGAACTGTATGGCTTGAGGCCGCTAGCCTGGGGTCTTGCTGGTATCTTGCCGCGTTTCTGGTACTACGCTGGGGATTTGTGCTGGCAGCAGCCCGGGAACTCACTGGGACAAAACAAGCCCGGGGACTGTATGGCTTGAGGCCGCTAGCCTGGGGTCTTGCTGGTATCTTACCGCGTTACTGGTACTACGCTGGGGATTTGTGCTGGCAGCATCCCGGGAACTCGCTGGGACGCCCAGTGCCGGGCGTCCCAGTCAGTCCCAGTCACTGGCCAGTGACTGGCAATCTCACTGGCCCGTTGTCGCCCCGCGGTGCGTTTCCAGCGTCGCCCCAGTAGGATCTTACCGGCAGACCGGTACCGCCCCAGTCCCAAACCGGCGAGTTGTGCTACTTGGGTCGGTCCCTCTCATTGGCGGTAGCCATTTCTTGGGCACGACGCTTGGGTGTAGATCCGAGTCATCGCCGAACGCTGACACAAAACTTGTTTTTGATCAATATTTTGAATTCCTGCAGCACGCGGGTAACTTTCGTCCGAGCGGGTATCTGCTCACGAAAAAATATACACAAAGTTTTGTAAAAAGTCAAGCGGCCAAGGGGTTTCGTCAATTCGTGTGCTTCTCAGTTTACCACTTTTCGTGAACGTGTATTTAAATTTGTCACGAATTAACCTTTCTAATCACGTACGAAACGTACGATTTCAGATTGCGAACTTTTTGTTGCAAGCAACGATGCTATTAATATGCCTCATACGCAATGTCACTCAATTTACCGGATATACTGCGGGTATGGACGGCCCACACGAGGTACGTAGACGTCGCTTTCAACTAGTAAAATAAACTACTTTGAGATGCAACACGCCTTTTAAACCAGAAACTTTATAGGGCCAAGCAACCTCACAAGCCGCGTAAGCACGGAACGTGCAATGTCTAGTGATCTCAGTTCGTGACCGCTAAACGATATCGAAAAAAAACGCAACCGGTGCCTGGGAACGAATCCTGGTCACCGGTTTAAAAGCCGAGGGCGCTGCTGACTGCACTGGGAAACCAGCGCGCAGGAACGGGAAGTAGGTGATCTGAGAAAACGCGCGCAGCGGAGAGGGTTGAAAAAGGCGGGAAAAAGAAGAGCAGGAACAGGTGGTGTAGAGAGAGTGCGCGAAACGAGGAGTGGAGAGGACAGGAAATCGCGCTTCCCTCCTCTTGGGGAACCCGAAAATTTAGCTTAGAGGCTTTGTATCCGAATAGTGATGAAGGGACGCGGTGTCACAAAGAGACAATGGTGTCACATAAGGCGCCACCTAAACTAAAAGCCCTCCCTTTCGCTCCCTCCAACCGTTGAAAGACCAGCCCTAGGCACCACATACATTATGAAGCTACCGCACTTAAACGCCTTTGGCAAATGACCAAATATGCAGTCAATTTTCACTATGAGTTGTATGCTTGTTTGTTTCTTTTTTCTTTCTTTTTTTTTGCGCGAGCTTTCTACCTTCGACGACGCGTCGGCGTCTTGAGAGACCTGAGTCTGCTTTCGACAATGCACAAAAGAGACAGAACACGATGAAAGGGAGCGATTGCGTGCGACAGACCGAGCGTAAAAAAAAAAAAAAAAAAATAAAAATACCCAGCTTTTCTTACCTTGTCAGTGACCATGGGAAATTTTAGTAGATGATTCCGACACTTATGCTTATATCGCATCGTTTCCGGGTATGGTTATTCGAGTGTTTTGTGGGAACCGTTTCTGCATATCCGATCCGGTCCGAGGGACCCTCCGGTACGCACTGCGCGTGTGCCACCACAGACGAACACTCGCACATGGTCAGGTCGTACCGAAAGGCCCAACTGTATCGGATGTGCAGAAACGGTTCCATAAATTTTTCTGATGGAGATATATCGGATCCGTCTACTAAAAACTCTCTCATAAAAACTAAATTATAGGTTAAAATATTCGCACAAAAAGCTATGTCATAGATTTCTCTGTATGAATGTTAAGCCAAAATTATACTTGAGTTGCCAAACACATGGTAGCGCTTTTTTGGACGAGGACAAAAGAAAGAAAGACAAGACAGACACGAGCGCTGACTGCAACTATTTAATCAACATGGAAATGAGGCATATATACACGCTTCGATCCTAACAATACCATCCAGCCTCATTTCCATGTTGTTTAAATAGTTGCAGTCAGCGCTCGTGTCTGCCTTGTCTTTCTTTCTTTTGTCCTCGTCCAAAAAAGCGCTACCATGCCTTCGGCAACCCAAGACCAATACCAACTAGCCCAGCATACAGCTCAAAAATTATACATCTTGGAGCTGTTCTGCTCATCGCGTGCTAAGATGGTTTCTAGATATTTATAAGTGAACTGGTGAAAAGAATAGGCATTTTTAATCAGAAGGTCAATTATCACTTCAAATAATCAACGAGTAACAAGAACTTTGAGTTTTTATGCGCATTTTATTATGGGTATACAAGTTATAAATAACAGTGGTCCAAAATTAGATCCCTGGATGACACCAGACGGGGTAACAAAAAGTTCTGGGGGGCTGTTTAAAATTCGCAAACTGCTTCTGTGATTAGTTAGATAAGACTTTATTAAGCAGAGAGGACACACCATACAAAGAAAGTTTGTGTAGAAGTAGCTTATAATTAACCTTGTCGAAAGCCTTTTTATGTCAAAGTAAACTGCGTCGATTTGATCGCCAGTGCAAACCAATGAAAATAATTCTTTTTTTTTGTGTCAAGGTCGTTATCTAAAGTGCTTGGTACTAGTTTTGCGAGAACGTGTATACAGCATGTTATTAAAGATATGGCGGAAATTGTTAACCAAGACTACGCCGGTGAGCTCTAAAACGCACAGCTATGATACTGTCTTTAGAGTTTGCTGAAACTGCGATAATGCGCATAACGGCTCTATATAGGCAAAGGGAAAAAGCCGCGCATTTGGCACTTTTATGCACACTAGGAATGTTATGTGTGGTTTTTGTAGATGTAACAAGAATAATATTGTTTGTATTTGTATTTATTTAAGTGATTAGCGGACCTCCACAAAACACTTAAAGTAAACAATAAAATATGCAGAGCCACTCTCAGCACACACTAGTAAAATATTAAATTTAGGATTAGTTAGTGATTAACGAATTGCTTAACATGCGGCAGAACACCGGGCGATACACAGACGTCGAGATCCGGATTTGTGATACTGTTATGCAGCCACTGCATCTGAGGAACGCGCGAAGTTTTACATGATGAGCAAATATAAAAACAAAATATGTAGTGGAAGAGAACTTGACATGGTAATTAACTCTGCCGAGGAATTAATCAAAAGCAATACTAGAAAAGCACATGGAGATAAAATAAAAACTGTTTCCATATGGTGACAAATGATTTGGCTTAGGTGCTCTGGAGATATATAAAAAGTACATCATTCTTATATAATTATGAAAAGAAAAAATAAATGCATTTTTATTGTTTCTTTAACTAGACGTATGGCCGAACCCCGCCGGATCCTCAAGCAGTCGTCGATTCGCCGTGGAAAGTAGCAGACTTGGGTTGCTTGTAAGCACACCTCCTTTAAAAGAGGACACTATCTTCATGAACGAATTTCAAATGATACCGGAGGTAACTATTATTTTTTCTGAAACTGTCTTAAGTGAATCAATTGTTAGAGGGCGATTTTATTTCAAATAGTGGTGAAAAAAAGGGACGTGTCTTAAATACTTTTGAAATATATACTATATATGTATAGCCCCCAGGCAAAAACGACGAGCCTCCTGAGCGCGCTCGTGTATTTTGTCTGGGGGCTTTCACGAACCGCCACTCCATCAAGCTTCATTGTAAAACCCATTCAACATGAAGTAATCATATACGACCCTTGAAGACCCTCACAATATATATATATATATATATATATATATATATATATATATATGATAAGAAAGGTGAAGTAGAGATATAAAGCACCGGCTTTACAGGCTGAGCTCTGGAGCACTTCCCCACGAGCTCTAGCATGAGCCATGAGCTACGCATCGCCCGTACAGGCGATGCGCTGTTGTGAATGGTAATGATAATGTTGATGTTGATGAGGATGAAGTTGCGATGTTACAATATACAACGTGTTTCAGGTAACTCAGGCCAAATCGCTCCTGCGAAAACTAAGCATCGCAAAGACAAATTATTGATGCCGTGCGGGTGCCTCCCTTAGAGCTTATTTAGGAAGAAATAATAACGTTTAGAAACAATAGTTTTTGTTTTGTTTTTTAGAAAGAAACTTTTAATTTGTTTATTTTAAAGCCATAGTTTCAATTAGAAACTTTCTGGGCATCATCAATAACCCCTATATTAACCTTCTTTAGACAAGTATAAAAGCATGCCGAGCGTTTTACAATGTTTTGAAAAACCCTTTAATTTTGACGCGTACTCTGGTTTCGGAGACTTATCCAAGTGCATCTTAGCGGCAACTGTCCTGCCCTCCGACGGCTGAAGCGCGAAACCAAGGCCAGACAAGTCGCTAGTCTCGCCCGCTTGCCTCTCTTCCCTTTCTCGTGAAAAACAAAGAAGTGTAGCGCGCGCGCGCGCGTGGCCAGGTGACAAGAAACGCCTCGCTGTTCGAAAGAGCATGATGGCTTTTTTGAACAAGATTGCAAGATTGAGCTTTGACTTTTGGGCTGGCTTTGGTTGCGCGCTTCAGCCACCGGAGGGCAGGAGAGCTGTCGCCAAGATGCGCTTGGATAAGAATTCGAAACCAGAGTACGCATCAGAATTGAAGTGTTTTTCAAAACATGGTAAAATGCTCGACATGCTTTATACTTGTCTAAAAAGGGGTGATATAGGGGTTATTGATGATGCTCAGCAAGTTTCTAAATGAAACTATGGACTTCAAATGAACAAATAAAAAGTTGCTTTCTAAAAAACTTTAAAAAAGCTAGTTTTTCTGAACGCTATTATTTTTTCTAAATGGGCTCTTGGGCAGACACCAATACGGCATCAACTTTTTTTCTTTGCGACGCTTAGTTTTCGCAAGAGCGATTTGGCTTGCGTTCTCTGAAACACTCTGTATATATATATATGTAGGTAAATTTATCGGTAGGACAAAACACTTTTGCGTTCTATTTTTATATCTTATACCTTTGACTTCTAAGGACCAAGCCGGATTTGAGATTGAGGGAATCGTCACAGCTTTGGGAGGTTCATATACATTCCGCACTACAAATGCACAATTTATATATTTTTATCTAGAGTGTAAAAAATCCATATGCTCCTAGAATGTTTTTTTTGTAAATCATCTAGAACCTGGCCTTTTTGGCGATAGTTAACGTATCTTGGACGATATTTTGTTTTTATAGCTTAAATATCATACGATATGAAATTTTAATCATTACTCTTAAATGTAGCCGAATAAAATTATTTTTCCGAAAAAGTTTTTAAATACTAAAGAACTTTAAAAGAACAAATTTCAACATTATTTTTAAAAACAAAACCCCACCAAAAAACTTTTTTTTGTTGTGTATATGAAGAGTCCTCTGAATGACCTATAACAGGGGTGTCCAAACCCCGGCCGGCGGCTCAGATCGGCCCTCAGAATCTTTCTGGTCGCCCCGCCGCCCGCTGTCCGTGTTTGGTTCTTTAGAAGTTTAACCCAGAGAAATAAGAACATGACGCAAAAACGGATTTTAGTTACGTCTTAATGAAAAATATGCTCATTACATCTGTTTTTTTTTTGTTTTTTTTTTTACAAGCTCCTGAGATATGAACTTTCTTTCCTGCTAACCTGGAAGCAGGATTCACATAATCCTGCTTCCAGGTTAGCTACATATGTGTAGTTTTCCGTGCTTTTAGATAAATCTGAAAAAAATCAGAAAAACTCTTGCCAGTAAGTTTTTCGTCAGTTCGAATTTATCCCCAAAACTCTGAATATCGGGGACACGGCGACAAAATAAACCGTGAAAAAGACGGACTTTTACAACTAAACTTTAGAAGTGCACAAGGTCAGTGGTCCCAGGGAGATTCCACTTCAGTTTGCTTTGAAATCTTTAACGACTGACAACAGGGGTTAGCCTTTAGCACGTCGAGGTTCCTACGGGACAGCGAGTGATGGTACCCGGACCTTATTATTTTTTTTTTCAAATTTAACGCAGTAAAACAAACTCTTAATTTCAAATGATTGGTAATCTAAGAAAAATAAACTCCGATAAACCCTCAATCTCCAGTGAAAAATAAACTTCGAAAAACGCCCTCCGAATCTCACGAGAAACAAACTCCTTAAACACGGAATCCTACGTATATACGCTTTATCTATTATCTTAAATTATCACTCGAGGTCATCTCGCGGATGGAAAAAGGCAGACGAATATAAAACTGAAAATAAACATTTCATAAGGCTAACTTCTTCTTTAGCTGAATCCAAAAGTACAGCGCGCATTCTGACGGAAAGGGACTGGCCCGAAGTGGCGTCCTACCGTTGCTTTTAAACACGCGGTATATTCCGGAACGTTAAAAAAAAAAAAAAATACTCCATGAAAGCCCAGAATTGTCTCACACTTTCCAGAAGAGTACAGAATTTGAAAACAAAGCTTTCGTTCCAGGGGATTTCGAACCTCATTTGTCCGCGTGGCAGCCACCTGCGCTGTCAACGTAGCCACGCATGCGGCCGTATATTGCAATCCAATTAATAGATTCTCATAATATATTACCAAGGTACAACTAACATCCGATTAATTTGTTGATATATTATATAATAAACAAACCTCAAAAAGGTGTCAGGTGTCCTTTCTTTTTTTATTCAAATAGTTTCTCTATTACTTTTCAACATGAAAGGTCCCGAATCAAATCAACACCCCATCAAAATAATTGTGAAGACGTCATTTACGTTTGTTGATGAACGCGTCATTTGGTATTTCAGGTTCTCTACCACATTCCAGAGGCAAACATGTACGCCTCAACCTACGAAAAAACAGAACCAAGACTATGTGGAATACAAACTCAGACGGTATTGCGTAATCAGGCAGATTTGGAGCTCAAAATGATCACTTCTGGCAGGAAGTATGACTACAGTTTGTCTAATATTTAGGAACCACTTAAGGACCTGTGACGAAGCACTAGAGTACGCTATCAAGACACACTTCATTAATTTTTTTCAAATGTGGTAGATATTCTTACAAAAACTCTCAAATTGGAAATCAAAACTAGAGGACCAACTCGGAGGAAGCCACGATAAAGACTCCCAGGGTACCAGGCATAGTTCCACTACTTGCAACCAAGCGTTAAAGTTTTTCTTTAAATCAAAGTATTTTAGGAGCATCAGTGGCAATTAAAAATCAATATGATGGAATATAATATTTATGAATGTCATGCTGCGACTCGGGATAGCTGAACTCTTCTGAAATATTGCACGGGGGAAAGGTAAAGGCAAAAGAACTATTTTGACCCACATTTCTTTTAGATATTCAGTGTGATCGGAAGCATAATGCGAACGCGATAATGCTTGCATGGCATATATCACTCTATTATTAGGTGCCATTTCAATGAAAAATAATTAAATACCTGCGCACCTATTAGGAATAATTACTTGATTATTCGTTGGCCTGTGCTTAAGTAGTCAATCGGTTGAATTAATGATATTGTTAAAAAGCTGCGAAGTTTTTACAATAAATATGTAAATCAATATATTACTTTTTGGTCTTATTCCCGTGTTTCTTCTAGTCCTGTGAATTCAGTATTAAAGTTATCATGAATACATCTATTTGATTGATTTGGCATAGGTTCGTTGATACAAAATTCTAGGATGTTGGAAAAAGTAAATTTTTAGACCTACATATTTATGACACTTATAAAACAGAAATATTTGAATAGAACAGCGAAGACAGTTTACTTATCTCTGGTCCTCCACATAAATATGCAGTTCTAACGTGATCGTGAAAACTCAACGCCATTATGAGAGATTTACTTTAGTAGGAAATTATGCAGTCAGAGTACCATAGGTCGCAGACGAGTTTACTCGTACTTTTTGACTGCATGTTGGCTTTGGGTCGCAGATCATTTGAGAATAAAGTGTTTGATGATGGATTTGACAACGACAGGGCCGATGTCCGTGACAATGGCATTAAAGTAGCACCTTTGACCAATTATTGAGTTCAATGTAAAGACGGCAGTGAATGCAGTAATCGATTAATCGCGGTATCTTAAAGATTAAATTCATCCCCTATAAAAAGGTTTACACGTTAGTATCAAGCGATCCCTTATTTGTGATACCTGTGGCAAGTTATGGCATTGATTTGACAAGCCTCGAGTACGTACTTGTCAAGCTTGTCGCTGTCGGTTGGTTTTGTTTGTCGCTCTAGTGAGACCAAAGCATTAAAGATATGATTACTGCAATAATATTGAATAAATATTATATGTTTACGAAAAAACTCAAGTTTTGACTCAAATGTCTTCAACTTTAGCGCAGTACTGTCACCAACAAGAAAACTGCACTTACGTAGATTCATGCCTCTAATGCTATGAAATGTCATATACAATAATACCTTCAAACATAAAAGTCACTTTTAGTGACTTTTATTCCTACTTCCTTAATTTTCTTCCGCATTACATTTATCATGTCTTTTTTTTTTAATATTTCAGTCAAAGTATAGAAACAGAAAACTATATGCGCTTTCATTCGGACATAAATGCAATTTCTCCAACCCAAATCTCTCTTCAGGATCGATACGGTAACCTTCTTTCTATACGTTTTCGTGTATATATTCTTAAGCGCATCGTGCTGTTTTGTATTGTTGCTTACTGTTCTAGTTACTTTGCAAAGTATGACAGCCTTAGCAATGACGTATTGTAATGCGCCTTGTCTAGACTAATGTTGCATAAGATAGTTCGCAGTGCTGCCTCGAACCCTCAAAACAAATTTGCAAGGGATAGCATTAAACTACAGTAAATTTTCACAGATAATAGTAACTTTTATTTATGCTCTCCAAAGGTTTTATTTGTACATGACAGATAAGAGCCAAAGAAAGCAGAACACAATTTGCGGCTGGAAATTCCTTTTCTTTCCGCCCGAATACCGCCGATCGAGAACCAGCGGGCTCACGTATATTACGAACTTGTAACGTATAATACTTTATAGTGCGTATAATACAAACTTTTTAAGAACAATTCCCCCGTTTCTACTTTACCGCATAGCTTTGTAGCATTCGATCAATGCCCTTTACTTAAAGGTTATTTTTTTTTTAGTGGAGAATCACCAATAACAATTAGAGCTTCAAGACCGACAAATTTCGAAGTCAAAACGCTATCACTGCTTCGTAATTAACTGCTTTAGGCCGCCATGTACTTTCTGTCGCACTTAACAGTAACTTGAGCTGACAGAAAGTTAGAACACCTTTTATTTACGTCGTTAGCGTTACAACCACGCTAAATATTCTTATCATCGCCTCCTTGCTTGCCACAAACCATCATAAGGGGCCCCTATTGCTGCAGGATAATCACCAAGACAATCTCAAAAGGGATCTGTACATCGCTTTTATTTAGGTGAGAGTGCAGCTAACGTTACGAGCCGAATGTTTTGCCGGAGATACGACAACCGTGTCTCGACGTTTGCATGTTTGCAGAAAACTTTACGCAATATTCCTAACGCTCCGCTTACAGTTAGCGGGTAAAGACTTATATGAGGCCCTGAACTAAAAAATAACTTATATGAATGTGTCCAACAAGCCTATGAGAACATGTAATGTCGCATAAATTGAACATACATCCGCCTTAAATGCGTCTTATGTAAAGGAGGTGGGTGGAAGTGGGTGTTATACCACTGTCAGACGGGAACGTTAGAAGCCTACAGAACGAACACCTTCAGAGGGTTGGCGAGCCAGCGCACTCCGATAAGCGCAAGACCGCGAGCTAATTCGCTGATTCTTTAAAGGAGTTCGTTCTGGAGGCCTTCATGTACCCGTGTTGGGGCATCACATGGTGGAGAACATTAACTGAGAGCTCGCCCTGCTGGACCCAGAGATATTGGGTTCAGTCCCCATCCCTGTCCGTTTCGATTTGGACGTACTGGCGTTCGGTCGCGTATCACTATTGCGTGGTGCGCGTTAAAAACCCCAGGCGAGCGGTTGTACCGCACTGGCGAAATTTATCAGTTACTGTAGAAAAACAATTTGCCCGTTGAGGCAGAATAACTTCGGCTGTCTCTCTACACATCATGTCTGATTTTTTTTCGTCTTTTCATTAGGTTTGCGGCGTGTGTTGGTGTCCAATTTCAAGGACTGCTACGTATTCAAGAAAGTTAACAGCACCAAAAACGGGACTCCTTGTACGTGTAATGATTACATAAACCTGATAGATTGGGAAGTGGCGCAAATCACGTGTGTAATGTTGCAGTATCAACGAGCGGATACAGTAAATTTATGCTAAGACTTACTTTCCCCATTCGAAAGATTTTCTGTATTGAAAGCTGACACACATCTGCATTTGTGTGTGATCCAGTGTGGTGTACTTAGGTGTAGCTGCTTACAACGAGGGAACACACTAACTCCATGCTCTCGAGTAGCCTTGGTAACATTTCGAAGCTGTATGCATGCTGCTCGGCATTAATTAGATTTCTTTTTAATTGGGTGATGCTTTTACAGCATGTAAACTTGTTGTAAAAGCTTTCTCATTAATACATGTCTTTCAACATGTAATAATGAGATTCTGCCAATATTAGATGGTGGGATATCGTCCGGTAATTTGGCTAATTAGCTAAAATTCGATAATTTACTTTGTCTTGTTGATTATAATGAGGTCATGGAGAAATTGCAATATTGACGGTTATTGCTAATAGAGCCCTGACCGATTGAAAAAAAATTGGCGAAAGTACAGTCGTGTTTTTTAAATATTGATTATTAATAATTTAACGTTTTTAGCTTGATTTAAAAATTGTGGGAACAAAGGGCTTCGCGAGCCCCGCTCACAAAAATGTTTAGAAGAATGACACGAGCCGGGAGTACATGGATGCTATCGTATAGCATCGACATGAGATATGGCGATTGTGATTGCAGAGACTCCGCTTTTTATTGAATCCGTCTGAATTCGATGCGCTGCCGTAGCACTGATGTAAACGCGGCCATAGTCATTTCAGCCACGTCTTCACTTGAGTCATGGGCGCACCAAGAACACACGGCCGATATTATGACGGCCTCAGTAAAACGATTACGTCACTCTTCAGTGCGAGAAGAAGGGTCGGAAGTGGTGCGCTTGCGACCCTATTGTTCCGCAATTTTTATATCCGAATAACAAGCGTGGAACTTGATTAATTAAAAAAAAACTACAACATTCTCCCAAGATATGTAAATTAATCTTTCCTCTAATACTAATTTCCGGATATTCTTCACTTGCAACATGGCCCACAAAACTAATTAAAAGTTTTTTTAACAAACTTTAGTTAATGAGACAACTTACAAAGGAAATTATCTCCTCACCTAATGTCCCCGAGCCTGATAAGTACACGATCAGTACAGCACTCTTCTTACTCTTAGCCCACTTCAAGAAACGGTTGGAATTAAAAACAAGTAACCTGAATAAATAAATACTCTGAATGTGTTTATGTATTCGCAATATGCACACTATATATCGAAACCCTCGTGTTAAAAAAAAAGGATTTGTGCAACAAACATATAAAAAATTAGATAAATTATATCTGGCTTACATATAGCTTATATAAGGTCTTTAATGACCCTTCAAGTCCCCATATATTTATTGGCCACTTTTATATACCTTTCTTTCACTTAGAACATAGAGGCTTATATCATTGTCAAAATTATTTCAAGTCCACATCGAAATAATGATGCGTAAAAGATATAAACATCTATACCCAGATAAAGAGTGCTGCACGGCTAACTGGCAGGTGGCGCTAGTGGGCCTGCAGTCGATCAAACTTAAGCTCAGATGTGTGAATCAGCCTTAATCATGTACTCCGTATTTAGTTGCATGCAACGATACCAACTATCGTCGCCTATAAATCAACTGCATAATTCATATGATAGGGAGCTGCGATAGAAATAGGTTTGAGCACTTTAAATGAGGTACACTGGTGGAAAGGGCCAACGAAGCCACGGGAGCGCGCGGTCTCGAGCAACACGCCCGTGTCATACTGATGGCGAGAGAAACATGCTCGAGCCCTCTTCCGGCCGGTTGCGAGATTAGCGGCTATCAAAATCTGGCTATCTGGCCTTTGCTATGTTTGATATAAAAAAGGTGAGCGTTATTAAAAATAGTGTAGCTCGGAGACCGCACGCTCCTGTGGCTTCGTTGGCTATTTCCACCAATGTGCGTCACTTTTAGATTGAGCAATCATTTGGACCCCACGTACGATGGTGACAACCTCGGTATCATCTGTATTCATACTTATATAAATATAATCGGGTACCCTTATTACCAAGTGGTTAGTATACAAAATGAGAAGGCTAGGCATTTTGAAAACATCGCTTTAGTTTGAAATGGTCACTTGAGAGTGTACTGCTTGAATTTATTATTTATATTATTTTTTCTGACTTTTCAGCTTGCGAGTTCTTTCTTAAGAACAATACAATCCCAACCACTGACCTGCAGGAATGCTGGTTTGTATTCCTCGCGTACTGTGGATACCCGAAGGCTTTTTACAAGGATACAAGCTGCTACTCTTGAATCAACCCAAAACATCTAAACACTGAAAAACGTCAGTCAACCTAGAGACACCACTCTATAAAACGCACTTGGTAATGGGCTATTGTTCTTAAACAGCACTGATTTTTCTGATTCTGACACAAATCTCGGATGAAAATAGGTTCTCTTATGGTTTTCAGTCTTGTAATGTCAATTCGCAACGCTTTGAAAAACAACGAGCTTTTATGTAAAAAATAAACTCATCTTACTTAACGATGCATAATGTCTCTGTATTCTTTATGTCAGATGAAGTGTGCAAATTAATTAACACATAAACTTAAAAAAAACGTGGCTGGCGGACACATCATTTTGCGGATGTATATAGATCGCATGTTTATACGCGGACCATGCCAAAAATGTGACAACCTTCAACTCCTGCACGCAAAACGTAAAAAGCTTTTTATACAACATGCAACGCGCGTCGCCGAGCCAGCGTGTGAGTTGACGAATGGTTACTGCGCTTGAATGTCGCGGGGAAGGTCAAGGTTCGATTCCAGTCAGCGGAGTGTTTTTTTGTTTTTTTTTAATTCTTTCAACTTGGCGTTCTGGTAGGTTCGAGAAGATTGTCATCTGATCGAGTTCCGAATGTCCTACGCTCCGATATTTCTACGACGAATGTTGAAGAAACCGACGCTGATAAATAAGGGAGATATGGCAAGCGGAGTCAGTCTCGCCCCAGCATTCGATCCTGCTGTTACACCGACTTCAACGCCCACGACGCTCAGTCGTTACCTTTTGTCGAATTTTATTTTTTTTGGAGCACAAGTTCGCCCTATTGGACTTTTCATTTTTCTCAGTTATTTATCGTTTCGTCACCTCTGCATTTGTGACATTTTGGTAGAGGCGTGGGGTAGCGCATGTTCCTGCAGCGTACCCCTCTGAGGGCCCGCAGTGCACGTCCGACACCGATCCCACGCAGGCCCAACGAAGATAGTACCGAGGCCCGATTCAGTCGCGGTACCTGAGGCCTAAACCCTTAACTCGGAATTCTGCCAACCCATACTAAGCTGCCAACGATGCCGTCGATGGACCACCAGTCGTCGCAGACCCCGACTGCCGCCGCAGTCGTCTACCTGCCCGTCGCCCACCGAACCCCGACGACCTTTCATGGCGAGGCCCACGAGGATGTGGAGGACTGGCTTCTGCACTATGAACGTGTAGCCCTCATAGTAGAGGGACCACTGAGCAGTGCCTCCAAAACATCTACTTCTCCTTGGAGGGTACCACGAGGCAGTGGTTCGAGAACCATGAGGCTTCACTTACGTTATGGGACACCTGTATTGCCGGCCTGAAGGAGACATTCACGAACCTGCAACGACGACAGAGAGCGGAAGACCTCCTGCAAATAGGGACGCAAGGTCCACAAACAAACTGTCACAAGCTTCGTTGGAGGTTTCCTCTGTCTGAGCAGCCGCGCCGACCCTCAGTCTACCAAGGAGAAGAAGCTGCGAGCCTTCATGAGAGGCGTGAAGAGTGACACCTTCGGCGGCCTTGTTCCTAACCCACCAGCTACTGTCGATGAATTCGTTGCCGAAGCAACTAACATCGAGCGTGCCCTGTCGATCCGAGACAGCCACTACAACCGACTCGCCGGCACGCCTGTTGCTTCGACGCTGGCATCTTCCCGATCCGACCAGGGCGGCATCAGCGCTGGCAACCGTCTAGGAATTGTCCGCAACATCGTCCGGGAAGAGCTCCGGAAAATTCTTCCCGCAGCTGATGGCCCTGCCTCGATATCCATCGCCGAGGTAGTGCGGGAAAAGCTCCAGAGAGTCACCCAGCGAGAGGCTTTCATTAGCGTGGCAGTCCCCGAGGAACCCACTTTAACCTACGCCGCAATGGCCCGACGGCCAACGCCTCCTCCTCGCGCCTATGTCGCGCCGCCCCGACGTCAGTCTCCTGCGCCACCGTACGACCCAAGCCACGACAAGCAGGCCCAGTACGCCTGCAGGAGCCCCGTGCACCCCGGACGACCGACGTGTGGCGAACGGCTGACCGACGCCCTATATGCTACCAGTGTGGGGAGGCCGGCGAAGTGTACTGCCTGTGCAGCTTCTTCCAGATGGGGCTCAGAGGGCTTGCGTCGAACGTCCCTCGCCCCCTTGGAAGAACGAACAAGAAACTTTGAGGAGTACCTGCGCCGTCCGCCATCTTTAGTGCCGGGTCGTTCTCGGGGATCCCGCTCACCATCCCCACGACGTCCGGCATTGCCCCTTCGTCGGTCCCGCCGACAGAGCTTGTCCCCCCTGCGTCGCCGGGAAAACTGAGTGTGGTAACACCTGGAGGTGGCGGTGCCGAAGACGACCTAAGTAAAGAGCCTCCAAGAACACCGGAGCGCTCCCACTCTCCCGACCCCACGCATCGCAACGACGCCTCTGCAACGGTGCCCAAAAACCTAAACGTTGTTATGGACGGCCACGACGCATCGGCACTCGTGGAGACCGGAGCAGACTACTCAGTCTTGAGTGGGAGGCTCTCTCGCCGCCTGTGAGAAGTGACGACGCCGTGGGATGGGCCAGAGATACGAACCGCTGGGGGACACCTGTGGTGCATGAAGTCTGGGTCGGCACAGCGAGGCCACGTCTGGCCTCCTTCCTGGGTATCGGGTCAGCAGAGCAGCGGGTCACGTTCACGTCGACTTATGACGTACCCTTGAGCCGTGCAGTAACGGGCGAGGACATATTCAGAGATCCGTTTAATTTCACTCCATGAGTTATCCTACTATTTCAAATCAACCACCACCAGGCTCGTGCTGCAACGGACTGTGACTCAGCTTTGCCGGCTGGGTGTACTCTGTAAGGTAAGGCAAGGGAGACGGTTAGCAGCGGGCATTGACTCCCAGCAAACAATGACTCATGAAACCCTTACCTAGGGACATGCGCGGCAGTAGATGCTCCGATTCCACTCCTGGCACGCTACCTGGTTCGAGTCCCCGACTACTTAACACTTCTCAGAAGAGAGAAGAGGGCGCATAGGAAAATAGTTTCGAGAATCAAAAGGATAGTTGGTAAGCATAGTAACAATGCCCCAGCACCTACTTAACCATAAATAAAAAATAAAAAAATAAATAAAAAAAAAACGTTTGGATCTTTTTTTTTTCTTTTTTTTTGAGGGGGGATATTTTTGAAGAAATGTAAGGAAATACATTGTATCCTGATTGCATCGCAACACAAAGAAACATTCCAAATGTATTTCGATACAGGAATACAGATACGAAATATACTTCTGACATACTATCGCGATACATTTGTATTGCGGTACTGCCCAACCCTGTGCCCGAGCTTCCTGACACCGCATCTAAGCTCAAGGGGTCACATTCTCAAATTGCCATGAACGCCATTTGCACCTACGCCACGGTAAGCACGAAAATGGCGGCGCATAATAGCCTGTTAGTTATCTCTAGGCCGAACAAAGAACTCTTCATCAACAACGCTTATACCGAATGCCACGTTGTTTCTGCAGTCACTTGCGCTGCCCACACTAACCCTGATATGAACTACATTGTTACCGAGTCCTGAGTATTTGTTGACTATTTGGGGGTAAAATACGCGTTATTTACAGAAATTAGTATACATTGACACATTGCATAGCGAATGGCTTTGTTAAAAATCATGCAAGGTACTCAAAAAAGGTGTTTTGGAGTGGTTTTACACGAATAACAGTGTGAACGACTTCTGAAACACCCATCGCCACCGAGACAACCGAGACGGCGACCGCCATGTTGATTTCGATTTGGTCGATGGTGTCGATGAGACGCAAGGAGACAGGAGGTCTGGCTTAAGATATATACTCTTTAGGTGAGGACACTGCTCGACGCGGACCGATCTGATAAAAGTCCCCCGAACCACGCAGACGCGCACAGCCCGCGGCCACCAGCGTCGCCGCCGGTATCTTCATGACGCTTGAAGCGACGGTGAAAACGTTCAGTCGGCAGGCCGGGCGGGCCGAGACGAATGAAAGCGTCTAAGACTATCGAAAATTCTGGATATTCATCTATTTTAAGGTATGTACTCGCCTTAAGACTAACCTATCATTTTGAGCTTGCGATATATGCCTTCCAAGTGTGTTTGACACCAGATTCGGAGCTTCAACTAGTGCAGAAGCTGCGCGGGATTAGATCTGGTGGTTTGCAGCCACTATTCTGCCGAGCTGAGCGACATTCAAACTTTTTTCTGCCCAGGGCTCTACCACTCACGCCTTCTCTGCCGAGGGAGCTGACATAGTGCCCGCCCCTCGAGCAACAGGACATCAAAGCAAGGACGCATTGGGCTACCTTCAACAACAATGATTTACACATACACTCACGTGCTCGCGCACGTGTATGAGTGCGTGTGAGTCCGTGCGCACGCAGGCACACTCACACATACACGTGCGCGAGCACGTGAGTGTATGTGCATGTGCGCGTTTCGTGTAAGAGTCTGATTTTGTTTGTAGTAATGCAGCACCACAGGCTTCAGGTATGGCCCAATGTCCTTTCTTTGGTGTCGCAGCCCTTCTGTGCCACACGAAAGGTCAGCGCTAACGCCCTCTCTAAACGATCATGTGTGAGGGCTCCTGTTGACAGTACTTGAGCATGGCCCGCCTTAATTCAACCTTGACCGATACCATCTGCCTGGTAACCATTATTAACAACATGAGGCCACCTCAAGAGATCCAGGAGACCCAGTTGCCTGACATTGCTGTCGGCATACGTGTTCAATGGAAGCGAAGCGGTCGCCTACCATCATGTACCGAGATATTGCACCTTTCTCTAGACGTTTTAAGCTATTGCGCCCAGTGGGACGGGCTGAAATTGCGCAACGAACTTTGTATCGACGCTGCGAATAACCTGCTGGTGATTCTGTCGTGTGGCAGGTAGTGGTACAGCCCGAGTTTCGCGTCCAGATCTTCAGATAGCTTCACAGCAGTCTTGAAGGAGGCTATTTGGCGTCAATTGCACTGTTCGGAAGATACGCGAGCGCTTCTACTGGTTGCAGTGCCAC